AACATCACACAGGTTGATAACTCAGCTGAGACAGAGATGGGCCTTACCAGTTGGCAAGAGTCCTAAGATACTGAAGAGGGGTACAAAAGAGAATTAATTGTTCTAATATTATTCTTATTTTTTGCTAAGAATTGCCCCTGGAAATTATAGGAAAAAAAAAATGCCCTGACTATAAATGAGTGCCCTGACTATAAATGAGATATGGTTTTGTAAAGAGAAAAGATAAAGGATTTGAACCTGGCTTTAAAAATGGTGACAACCTCTCTTTTACAGAACCTAATCTCAGAGTTTATAATGCAAGCCATGTAAACTAACTAGCGCTGCATTTTAACTTGTGGGCACCTGTGCAAAAAGCACCTTGATATGTTTCTGAATGTAACAGACCACAGATGGCCAATAGATATCTTCTCAAGTGTGTTTGATCAGCAGGTAGTTGCTATTGGGAGAGACATAGTAAGATGGTTTCTGAAGTTATTTTTGATCCTAATAGGAAAAAGAGCTGGGATGGATTAACAATGCCTGTCTTGGGTGCAGGATTAGGAGAGGCTGCACACGTGCCTGATAGTTCCCTTTCCTGTGCTAAACTTTCTTTTGGTTGTATTCACTAGACATGAGATAGTTTGATATATAGTAACCTTTTTCTGATATAACAGTTTAGATTCTCACTTCCCAGCTCCAGGTTTCAGAAAATATGTCAAACAACCATTAACTCGACCTCATCCTGTAGTAATCTCTTTTCGTATTATTTCAAAGAAAGTGGATAGGTAAGTGACTGAAAAGAGGCAAAGAGGCTCCAGAAGAGATAGGGGCTTCCATGTGCAATTGACTAATTTTCTCTTAACTTTTGGAGCTGAATATGGGAGAGAGGGAAGTGTTGCCCAACACAGGTGTGGAAGGGAGTACTGGTAGTGGAGTGATGGCCATGTTGGGTTGTTTGGTACTCTTTGGCTTCCCTCTGATGGCCCTCTAGAATAGAGTCTTTATTGATCATGTCCAAGATGATTCTCTGTTCCAGAGTTACATCTACTCAGAGCAACAGTGAGGTTCTCAGGACCAAAGCCTACTCTAGCCAGGAAGGCTAGAAAGACTAGGATAAGGATAATATAACCCAAGAGTCCTGACAGTTCCAACAGTCTCTGGATGGCTCCAACATCATAGAAATTTAACACTGTTCCACTTGATTACAAAATCTAACACTGGCTTAGACATTCTGGATTCTCAGGGAGGGTTCCAGCATCTGAAGTCCCTCAACTCTTTTCCAGGATGAGAAGCTCACCCATAGGAGATTTAACTTCTCACCATTGTGGGCTCATGATGGTTTTTCTCTTGCTGAATGGCTAAGAATTGAGGAGCTATGGAAAAATGTGGGTCACTTTTAAGGCAGACAGTTTGGTTGTGTGGGTTTTTCCTAACCTAGTTCTAACCATCTTGGGGTACTCATTGTATAGGATAGAGCAGCAGGAAAAGTAGCAGCAAATGTGGTCCCAAGGCAAGATCTGAGGAATGGGTGGGTTCTGTAGGGATATTATGACCTTGAGCCTCAAGCAGGAGGCTGGTATAATACCTTGACATTGCAATCATAAGCCATTTCCAGCTTCGCCTTGAACCCTGGAGTTGGGGTAAAATCCCCATGGCAGCAGAAGAATTGGGGGGCTTTGCATACGTTGGAATCTTTACCTCTTCCTGGGTCCTAGTTCCCTAGCAGGTAGGTGATCATAGACCATTTCACTTCCAATCCCAATGGACTGCACCCTTGAACCCTGGAGTTGGGGTAAAATCCCCATGGCAGCAGAAGAATTGGGGGGCTTTGCATATGTTGGAATCTTTACCTCTTCCTGGGTCCTAGTTCCCTAGCAGGTAGGTGATCATAGACCATTTCACTTCCAGTCCCAATGGACTGCACATCCCAATGGACTGCACCACTCTGTGTGCCCTACATATCCCGAGCCTAAGGGTGTTAGCTATTTTGGCATCTCAACACTTGGTCTTATCAGTCTCTGAAACTCTCTTTTTCCCAAGGATAGTATTGGCTAGGAGCTTGGGAAAGGAAAGGGTGAATTTGTTCCAGTATCTCTCTGCTCAGTCTCCAGAACTGCTCTCACACAGATGTTTGTATGAGTGTGTATGCATGCATGTGTACTAACCACATATGTGCACACTCCTAGATACAGAACATGTTTCTTGCTGTGGTCATGTGACTAATTTTAGGAGGCTCTAGGACTGCATGCTGTATATGCAATCCACCTCAGACTTTGGGATGGGATTCCATTCCATCATTTAACAAGGCGAGACTTGGTTCATTCGCCACTGTGAGTCCTTCCTGGGTGAAATTAAAGGCAGACCGGTTGGGTGCTAAGGATCCCTGGTGTGGAGAGGCCATTCCGTTGAGCAGCTGACTGTGAAATCAATACCAAAGGGAAGCAGGTCCTGGCGTTGGGATTCTTTGACAACTCCTTGTCTTTCCTTAGCCGTGGCTGTATCTCCGGAGGTCTTTCCGGCTGTGTTCTTGGGCCTGGGGATCCCGACAAGCACAGTCACCTTGTAGGTCACAGGACATGGGAAAAGGGGTAACCTGCAGAGAGAAAGAGAGAAGGAATGATGCAGGTGGTTTGGTCTGAAGTGGTAAAGATCAGAAAGGCAGTGCAGGGCAGAGGTATAATCACTGGACTTGGGAACAGAAGATTCAGGTTCAAATGATGGCTCTGTTTCTTGCTAGTACCATGATAACTTTTTATCAAGAACACAATGGTCATTATCATAACAATTTCCATTTGCAGAGGCATTTGTTATAGGTCAGGCAGTGTGCTGAACACTCCCAATAGTAAAACGCTGAATCCTTTTGACAATTCTATAAGATAGGTACTACAACAATTACCCTTTTATAATTGGGGAATCTGAGGCTCAGGAAAGGACAGGGATTTGCCCAAAGTAACAAGTGACAAATCTGGTATTTAAAGTAAGACAAGCTACTTCTTTCTGAGTCTCAGGTTCCTATGTGTACAACTGGTATAATAAGACCCACCTTGCACTGTAAACTGTAAGGGCTGAGTAAAATCATGGGTGAAAAATTGTAATGCACTGTACCAAAGTTGGTTAATATAATTGTACAATGGAATATTTAACATACAGGACTGCTGTGATGACCAAGTGAAATAAAAGATTTGAAAGTGTCTCTTAGGAAAACAACTCTCTGCACATAGTGGCAATTTTGATTTTAAGAGTCAATGATAAAAACTCAGGCAAATCATATATATTGTATATCGG